GTTGTATGTGATAGATTTTGATGGATTCTCTGGAGCACAGTGGAAATCATTCACATCCACCCCACGAATATTCACCACTTCCCTCATTTATCCATCTGATTTGCAGATGGACTTTTCTGCTCATATTTTGAAACAGCCATTTGTAAAAGGGTTCTGTATTAAAAATGAATTGTTTCCTGTTGTAAAAGAAATGTTTATTACATCACATAATGTGCAGTCGTAGGAGTGTGTCTATTCCAAGCCGGCTTCTTAAATAACAACAAACATTTGTACACACCCTTTCTTATTTTCCCTTCCTTTCTGCCCACTGGACTCAATGACATTTGCCAGTTCATAGAACTGGTTCTAAGAGCACCTTCCAGGACAGTTAGGAATGAGAATGTGACTGCAAAAGTTCGGATAAAACAAAACAAATGATTCTGGGGTTCATGGCTGGGCAAAGCCAAGCCCCAGGACACTTTAACTTCTCCAAACCCAGGCAGCTCTCAGGATCCAGGGGCTGGGGAGTTGGAAGTTCAGGTTCCCCACTTGCTGGGAAAAGGGTTCTGACTCATTTTAGCTCTAGGAAGCAAATAAACAACACACAAGCTGAAAATTGGGTTTCTAAAGCCCACAGTAAAGATCTGCAGAACTTGCAGATGTGTAGCTATTTTAAATAATTTTAAGAAAGCTGAAACAAATCACTGGTTTCCAATCAACTGATACCTCTTCAGTTAGGAAAGAGTTTCTAATAGTAATTGCTAATGTTTCAACTCCTGAATTTCTAATCCTAGTTATCACCTGTAGATGCTAATTTATTACTGTTTTGCCTTCATCCAACCTTACTTCACCTCTGTTCATCTTTATTATTTCTTATAACATTCTTCCCCCCCTTAAAATGTGTTAATGTGCTTTGAATTTTATATAAATCACTTAATTCTTCTTTCCCTATCCTTTATATCCCCATCTCCTCTTTATTAGTGGTTCCTTGTTCTGTGACTATTTAGAGGGCCTTTAAAAGTCTCTTTTTAGGAGCAAAGCTTCCTATCCCATTTGTTGTAAAACTTCATGGCACAGTGTTAAAAAATAACACCATAAATATAAATTTTAGTATATTATTTAAAATCTGTGATTTACCAGCAGGTTATTAATTATTTGAACTCCTTAAGCTTCCTCAGCCTTACCCCCAAAAAAAAACAAAGGAAAAAAAAAAGGAAAAGGTGATATATTACAGTTTTCTCTTGAAAATTCACTTTTTTTTTTATCCACATTTAGGCTAACCTCAAAACAGTTTATGGTTTCCCTGAATTTATGTCATGCTTTCTTTACATTTATAATAACTCTTGTCTGTACTACCTCAACCAAATCAATGCTACTGTTTCATACCCCATAGAGTTTTTTGAGCTTTGTATGTCAGTACTTTGTTGAGGCCATAGTTTGGAAAGATGAAATTATTCCATATTTTGAATGTATATATCTGCTGCCAGAATTTACTTATCACTTTTATAAGGGTGTTTCTCTGTGTTTGTTTGGTTTGGAGGTTTGTTTCTCTTTTTAATGAGCAAACCTATTCTTTAGGAATTGTATGTTTTGAGTGTATCAGAATCAATTTGCCAGGAATCAGCAAGTTGGTTTGTGAGTGCAGTGACACAGAGGAACATATTTAGAAGGCATATGGCAGGGAAAGCAGGGTGTGCTGCACCCTGGGAGAGCTCTTCCTATTTTCCTGCAGCACTTCACTGACTGGAGCACATGCACATGGGGCTCTCTTGAATGTGTATTAATTGAACACGAGACCATTTCCTAATGATAAATTCTATGCTCATTTAGTTTCTTTCTTGTTTACAAAAATAACAGCCTTGAACAGTCAGTATGCAGTAATTGCTGGTCTCCACTAAAGGAATTAAATAACATGCCTTTGTTATTCATGATTCAGTTGTTTTGTGCATAACATACAACTTTCAGCTGAAGAAAAGCAAGGAAAAAGCCAGAGGAGATGATACAGGTATATCTTCTGTGTATATACATAAAGAGAGGTGTAGTTAGGAGATGACCCAGCACAGGATCTGTGCATCTGCTCACCCCCAGTGCTGGCTGGTGTTCCAGCACATTGACACCTGCACACAGGGGCAAAATGCAGCTTTTGGGGGGCTCTGCAGGGCAGGGACAAGAGGAAGGAAACCCTTTAGGCTGGGGGGAGCTGCAGATGCCAGGGCTGAGCCTGGCAAGGCCTGCAGGGCTCTCTGGGCTCAGCCTGACTCAGTGCCTGCTGAGCTCGTGCTGCTGGGGCTGAGCTCCCGACACCTGGGCTGAGTATAATTCCACAGGAAGCCCCACCAAGGATACAGGAGAGTTGATGTGTTTTTGAAAGGTACAAATTCAGAGGCAATGCACTCCTTCAGTCTTCTTAATATATCTGCTGCTCAGACTTTTTGATACCTGTATCTTCGGGAATGCCTCAAAAGCTGTTCTACTTCACTGCTCTGAGTTCCTTGTATTCACTGTGTCTGAAGAGCTAAGTAGAAAAGATTGTCTCACTGAAAGGTCTCTGGGGGTACTGACATCCCACATGCATTCTGCTAAGCTTCCAAAGTTTGTTTTGTACTATATTTTGTTCTTATTTTTGGCAGTCATATTGGAATTGTAGCCTCTTGGGCAGCCATGCTTTAGAATTTTACTTGCTGCCATAATTTGAGTTCCATTCAGAAAAAGTGGCTTGAAGGCCTACAAACTTTACGTTTAAACCCCCTGCTCTGTCCATTGCATTTTCACCATTTGATAAAGAAGAGTTTTCAGAGCTCTCCCCTGACTGTCTTAACAGCATGGTTTCCAGGCTGCTTCCTATGGATTTTAGTTCTCTATTCCTTTTACTTCATTGTCTTTCAAACTGCTATAGCCCACTCATTTGAACAGAATCTGACTCCTGAATTTCACTGTTGCAAACTACTTCTTAGTTTGATCTTACAAAACATGTCAAATTTAATTATATTAAGGGCTTTTTCCTTTACCAGGTCAATCATATTTACAGGAACGATTTCAGAAAATTACTTAAGACAAAGTCAGGAATAGCCTTTTCTCTTGTCTTTCTAATTTCTGTTGTGATGTGACATACAGCTCATTTATACTTGGTTTGATAGTTGTCCTAACAAACTTTGTTAAAGATTGTTCTAATCTCTGCCAAGACCAGCAAACACTCAGCTGTGTGGGTGTTCTCCCCCCCGGGTCACGCTGTCGTGCAGTGTGGGCCTGTCTAGACTCTGACATAGGACCCACAGATAAATTGGCCCCAAAAGACCATCTTATTCTAAGAGTTATCTCTCAGGTGCCCAGGAACAGAAATCCAATGTCCCAGTGCCCATCTAGTGAAGAAAAGAAAGGCAGCAGTGTTGGGGTGGGGAGGGACACGATGCCCTTCTCATGTCACACTGAGCCACAAACTCAGTGTGCTGGGAAAAGACAACTTCACCTGCTGGGACCTTCCAAACCTTTGCTGCTGGATTGGACACACGAGGGCATTAAGAGAGTCACTGCCATCGAGGTGATGCAAAGAAGGGCTGCAGGTCACATTCATAAACAACCTTGGACTTGAAATTCCAGTGTTTCTTTTCAGGATTCAGGGCACCTGCCCCTCTAACTTTGTATATACCATAAAAACACACTCTGTGTTCCCAAATGTTTACACAGACCCCGATTTCTGTTTATGTATTTGTGTCTTTCCTTATTGGCTGAAAATATTTATCTTGTCATGTTTCAGAAGTGTAAACTTTTCCCTAAACCCTGTGAAGCTTACCTTAAATCTTCTCCTGTTTGCAGATGTTGTTTTTTATTTCTTGTACTAATGCATCTATTTCAAAAGGATTTATTATACTGTTCACCATTTATCTGCTCAGTTACTGGCTGTAGGAATGAGAATTTGAAAATCTTTTTCTTAAAAGAAAGACAGGGTTACTAGTGAGGAAATTCAAAGAATGACACGTGAGTGCTTTCATTCCATGCAAAAGAGAAGTTTGTTGTGGCAAATAAATTTATTATGAGAATGTCTGAAAGTGAGGAAGTAGAAGAAGGAAATGGAAGGTAGTTGTTTGGGCTTTTTTCCTTAAAACCCACTTTGAAGTGTAGAAATGGTGAAAGAATCATGTTGATTGTAGAGGCAGTATAAATTAGATCATCATAAACTTTTACATTGTAATAACCTTAAGGAAAAAAAAGGTCATTCTTGCAGAATTATACGTGACAGTAATGGACAAATCTCCTGTGCATATGGCATGTTCCCCTGTGGGATATGGGTTCATACAGCAGCATCAGAAAAGTGCTGGTTCAGAAAAGAAGAAAATTGCAAATGAATGAATGAATGACAGCAACATCAATCAGCCTTGTCCTGAAAAGAAAACTCTTACCCATAGCCTCAAAAATAAGTTGTGACAGTGTCAACTGTATTTTTGACTAAGTGTAAGATGTCAGAAGAGGGACTAATGCTGGGAAGATGCTGGTCAAACTCAAAGCAGCTCTTCAAAGTGGCTCTGAAGACAATTTTATTGCCTTGTTTAAGATTTCACTGAAATGTCCATGTCTGGAAAAGTGATCAGTAGTAGTTGTTACAGTGACCTTATGCTGGCCTGTGGGGAACAGACATGGTTTGTCCCCAGGCATTAGGGAGAAGGTCACTCAGAACAAATTCAGAATGGCTTCAAACCCTCTCTGAGCTCCCCGACCACTGCTTGAGGATGGAACGTACCTGTAACATCTCTGACCTCCACAATAAGACACATCCTCTATTTTGAAAGCTGTAGCTTCAAAAAATATAAGAATGTGAGAATGTTTTTATTTCCATCATTAGACAAAAATTCCAAAGTATTTCTTTTTCATTTCCCTGGAAATATGGTAGAGACCAGATTGCTAAGAAGTTATTGAATAATCATGACTCTTGGGCCTCTTCCAGTTTTCTAACATTTAGTGCTTTGTATGATGGGCCTTGGAGTTGCTGTTCCTGAGCTGAATGTGGATTTTGCCATTAATTTCAGCAGGACCTGGGTGCTCAGCCAGGATGTGCTTCACCCACCTCACCTGGGAACCTGGCACAGCAATACTGCACAGACTGACTGCTTTGCACCAGTGAGTCTCTTCCAGGTCATAGCTGGATGAAAGATCCACAGCAACACTGAAGTATTTTAGAGAGATCCTTGGATGCAATGGTAAATACTGACAGTATGACGAGTTTGTGTCCTGTATATAGTTTCTTGAGAGGGATTATTCCACAGCTAGTTTTGTTGTTGGTTTGAGTGGTTTTCCTCTTTCTGTGGAGGGTGATGTAGCTCTTTGAAAACATTCTCAACTCAGCAAAACTGCTCCATTCAGACTTGGTAATTGCTGCTGAACAGAAACATCTGTCAGTGAGATTTCTACCTTCTAGCACTGTAAACAGGCAGATCACATGTAAAACAAGGATCAATTCCAATAAACATTTGGCCTGCAGACCAAAGGATCAGTCAGGGGCAAAATGTGCTACAAAACATGTATTTCTTCTTACTGCAGCACTGGGGAACATCTCATCACCAGGACTATCTGAGGTTTTAGGACAGCAAGTAAAGAACAGGATTATTGACACAAGCACTTTTGGGATGGGCATGAAAGAAGGTGAAAGACAATGAAGAGCACTGTGTTTTCTCTGGGCTGGAAGAAGGCTTGAAGTAAAAGAGTTTCATCTTGTATTCTAGAACACCAACAAAAGGACAACTGGAATCTGTTTTACAGTGAGATACAGACGTGTGCTCCAGCTCTTGCTGAAAACCTCTGCCTGGAGAGCAGTTTGAGTATTGCTTATATCCACTGATAGTACTTCTTAGATTCTTTCTATTGAATTGCCCCCCTGTTGTCCCCGCACTTGTTCAAGGTGGTGGTAATGAGGAGGAAGAGTTCTCTGAAGAAGTGAAGTCCTTCCAGCTAAAGAAAAATCCAGCTCAAACTAGGTAGATTTCCATTTTCATCTTAAAACTTGCAGGCAGTTATACCAGTCCCAGGACTGATTGAAGCTACATGGCTTTAGAAAGAAAATATTGGTTTTATCAAAAGCTTCTAACCTAACAGTTTTAGAACCCTCAGATATTTTTTACAGCACTATTTTGGAATGTATTACCCAGTATAAAAAATTTAGGAAACTAACTCTCTGTCCAAGAGAGCTTAGAAAGGAAGATCAAATCCTGCAATCAGCTGATGCAAACAAATGCCACTCCATTAATTTAATAACAGGTTTCTGCAGTGTCTTTCAGGGCTGAATCTTACACAAACAGCATGGAGGAGATTTAGACACAGAGTGACATAATCTTGGTGGACATTTTTTGCTGTCTTTTGAGTGTTTTAGTATCCTTACCCTATGCAATCCCTCACTGTGCCCTGCCTTCCTATCAAAGGGTGTGTACACTGCAGGTATTTCCAGCTATCTAAGTGCCCACGTAGCTAAAACTGAAGAATTAAAAAATTGCTGTCTATATAGCTCTTAAACTAATTTATTCTACCACTTTGAAGGAAACAGGGCTTTTTGTGGAGCTTTCATGATGTGCTAAGAGGACTGTAGATCTCAATCGAGGTGCCAGGCATTTTGTGTCCCCACTGAGTTACTGACAATTGGCTGCAATCAAAGCACTCGGGAATGCCTCACACAACCTTGTACTTTTTTTTTTAACCTGTAATTCAACTTCACATTAAAAGACTTTCTTCAATATACATCTAAGATCTGCTGATCTCAAACTACACAAAAGATTTCTGTTAAAAGATATAGCAGGTCTTTGACTCCTAAAGCACAGCCTCGGTCATAAACTGGGAAGTTCTCCTGTACAGTGCCTGTAACCCTGTGGAGCTGCACACAGTGAGTGACAGAAACAGGAGCTCCAGCAAATCAAATCCTATATAATTATGCAAACCAGTAAGTGATTATTATTTGCCCCTCCCATTTGCTCTTCTCTTACAATTAACTGAAGCTCATGCTTGTACCAAGTGGTACTTGATTCCTAAGCAACTTATCAGACTCAGTTTCTGCACAATACTAATAATTTCATAGTTTTTTAAGGGCCAAGAGCAGTATAACTGGCAGGTCATCCCCTATTGCTTTTGTCAATAAATTTGCCAATTTGGATTCTCTCAGATACATGGGAGTTGAAGTTGATGCCAACCTGTAAATCCCAGAAGATTGTCACTATGCAAAAGTGAATTCCACTGCCCATGAAAAGCAGCATCAAGGCACACCTGCATGAATAATTTTTCTGTGTATGTGATGTAACAGGGATCTTTATGCTGACAGACTGATTGCTAATGGGATGCTGTGTGATGCATGGACTGGGACACCCTAGATCTGAAGACCTAAAATGACAAGTGAAACAAGATAAGGTGTATTTAAACCTTGTTCAGAAAATTTCTACAAGGGTTGACTATATTTTGTTTTCTTTTACATGAATTTATGACTTTACAGGAGTTGGAAATTGAAATCATGTATCAAAATATTTTATTATTAACATTCTTCTGTAAATTAGAGAATTATGTCTTGATACCTGGAATCAACATTCACCTGAGTGTTTCTGTACTACTGCATCTCATCCAAATGCTCAAAAGCTCTGGAAACATCACTTCCACAGAACTGTATTCATACCAGCCTGTTCAGGTGCAGTGAAAAGAATCTTTTTTTATGTGGGATTTTGCACTTGTTAGTCACGTTACTTGTGATACAGGGCTACTGTTCTTGGGCTGCCATCAATCAGCATCTCTTCTGTCTCTACTGACTGGAGTGATTGGATCACTTGAGAATCTATCTTGAAATTCTTACTCTACCTGAAAGCTTATTTTTGCATAGTCTATACATTTACAGAAAGCCATTTGAAAATCCTCTGGAATTCTTAGTACGTGGCCTGGGATATTACTTGTGACAGGAAAATACTGCCACAGTCAAGGGCTGACGAGTGAAGTACGATGTTCCTTTCCAGCCCATTTCTTTCTCAGTGTCACACACTGCCCAGCAAGGGCAAGTATAGAGGATTTCAGCTCGGGGGCTGGTTTTTTGCACTCCTCAATCTTGAAAGCTAAGAATCAAAATAATCTACAATTGCTGTTTAAAATATGACCATCTTTGCTGGCTTCTCTGTGAGATTACAGTACTTGTAGTCTAATTGAGATATTTTTAGAGCTACAAGTACCATATCCAGCTGGGAACCAGGTTATTTGCCCATTGTAAGACACCTAAAGTCTCAGCAATCCTTAAACACGTCACATGAACGGCTCTGCACCTTGCCAATACTGGTGTTCACACCAGTTACTTCCTCTAGTTTTCAATCAAACACACAGACACAAGTGAGAAAAAGAGGGGAATGATTTCTTTGACAAGTTGCTTAAAATAAATGAGAGATTTTGAAGGTGATAAGAAATTTTAAATGGCAGAGACAGACCAGAACCCTGTGGTCAGAGAAAGAGTAGTAATGTCAAAGTGCATAGCAAAGTATGAGAACCTTTGCAAAAGGCAAAGTATTGTATGACTTTGTATTCTGTCAGTACATAATGATGTTGTGTCACAGGCTGGTCTGGGCACACAGAGCCTGCAATGGTGCTAAGAGAGTGTTACTGCCATAGACCCCTTTAGACAGTGGTGCATTTACAGCCATATTGAGTTATGCAGATCATCCCAAACATGGTTCAGTAGTGCCTTTACACTTCCCAAACCCAAGGATATACTTTAATTTTCCACAACAATACACAGTAATATCCACATGTATTGAATTCATTGGAGATATGTTCAGTTCCTTTTTTCTGGAAGAGCCAGACTGAGAGTAGGTTTCACTACACATGGCACAGTGGTGCTCTGGGCCCAGAACAAGTGTTCCCTGCATATACCAGAGCAAAGAACAAATGCCAGATATTTTGGCATAGCTTGCATTCTTTTTGTGTACTATTCTAACATTCAGTGGAAATGTGTTACTTTTCTGCCCCTGAGTTTGAGTTGATATGTAAATCAAAACTTCCTGTCAGTGCAGCACTGAATATTACCATACTTCAGCAGCAGGTTCATGTTGGTATCTCGTTCATAATCAGGCGTGGTGAATGACACATTTCTGTGCTGTAACAGCAATTAATAGCAGAGGCTCGGAAACGGCTCAGAAATCAGGAGTGTCAACTGTAGTCCCAAGTTAGCATTTGCAGGTGAATTTCACGGGGCAGGATTAGTGTTTTATCTTGAGACCTCCTGCTCTTATCATATGATTGCAGGAGAAAAAAAGCGCCTATTATAGATCTAAAGTAAAATGATTCATTGCACAGCGTATCCACCATCTTCCTTTCAGGGCTAAATTTCAAGAGGTTTGGCAGTGAGGCAGCCTGGCCGTGAGAGAACAGAAACCTCCGCTGCTGAGCAAGAGAGCGGCTCTGGAGCATCGGCCGCGGAGCAGAGCTGGAACACGAGGTGGGGCTTGGGGGGTTGCTGTTTTAAAAATCCTTAAACGTTTCTTTAACGTGTTTGGGTTTTTTTTCTTGTCAGTACACGAATAGGACACATTTATCACACATACACGCTTGGCAATTTCAGCTGGAAAAGTGTATTTTCTCACTTTGTGTAATTCCAATTGTGACAAACAGGAGAAGGCGTAAAAATACGTCTGAGGAATTGCCCCCAGCCCCCCAGAAGATGTGTTTGGATGCTCGGTGCTGTAAGAAAAGCCCAAGCAGGCGCTCCCTGGAGCTCGAAGGCACAGCGGGGCGGGGCGAGCGCTGCCGGGGCACGGGGGCAGCTCCGGGGGCTGAGGGGGCTGCGGGGCTCCCCCGCTGCCGAGCGCTCCAGCCGCGGCTCCGCCGGGCCGTGTTCAATGGCTGCCAGCTCCGCGGGCTGCCGGCTGCGCCAGGCTCTGCCTGTTCGCTCCTTTAGCGGCTCCGCCGTCTCTCGGGGGCAGCGCTCCCCCCTCTCCGCCCCCCAGGTGAGGCTTCACCCCCCGCCTCCCTCAGCCCACCCCGGGAGCCGCCGCCCCGTCCGCCCGCGCAGCCCCCCGGCCCTGGGCCCCCCGGCGCTCCCTCAGCCGGGCCGGGTGCGCGGGGTGCGGGCTGGGGCCGGGCCGGGCACCCCCGCGCTCAGGGGCGGCCCCGCCGCTCTCCGGGGGTGCGGGAGGGGCAGGGCAGGGAGCTCCGGAGCGCCTCAGCCCCGCGCCGGCACCGAGCCCTGCCGCGCTCCCCAGCCCACCTCGCCCGCTGTGCAACACCCTCACCCTTGTCCCTCCCCCACCACCCGCCGTTTTCTCTTGTTTCTCTCCTTCCTTTTTTTTTTTTTTTTTTTTTCTTTCCCCGCTCCTCCACCCTCCTGCAGCGAGTTAAATGTTTCTTTTGTTAATTGCCGCCCCAAGTGCTCCCAATCCCTTGCCCGCACACCCGGGCCGGCCGCGGCCGGTGCCCGCCTAGCTGGGCTCGGTGGAGCAGCACAGACCGCGGGGCCGCGGCTGTGTGCGTGAGGAGGAGGAGGAGGTGGTGGTGTGAAGAGCGACGAGCACAAAGCACATTTGGGAAGAATAATTTAGCTCCTCTGTTTGTTGTTTTTCGGGAGTCTGGTTTTTCCCTTCTCCTTTCAATCTTTTTTTGTGCTCAGGATTTAAATGTCACTCAAAGCATCCCCAGATCAGCTTCTCGTTCGTCGCCTGTTTCTTCCGAGGCATTAACTGGATCACACGCTGCATTTGAAGAGCTTGGGTGTTTTACCCGCTAAGGTAAGTGGGCTTATGCACCTACACCGGGTCTGGATGGTCACTGAAAGCCTTGCAGGGTGGTGTTTTTCTTCCCCTCGGCTCCCCTCCTCCCCCAGCTCCGTGGCCAGGTTTCGCTCTCCCTGAAGAACTTGCGTCCCCGGGTTAAATATCGGTCGGGATGTGGCAAAGGCGCCGGGGGAGCGGGGCCGGGGGGGCTCCGCGCCCGCCCCTCGGGCACCAGCCAATGACCCCCTCGGTCCCCAGCGCCTCTGCTCCTGGAATAGCGCCTGGCATCGCAGGAACGGAAGAAACAGCCTAATCCTCTCTTACAAGAAACTATTCGTCATCATTTTTTTTTCTCCGTGAGAAATACTGTAGGCGCCCATCTCCCCTCCTCCCCCCCGCCCGCCCCCGTTGCCAGCACCGGCTCCTTCACCCGCACCTCTCCTCGCTTCAGGAGGTTCTTTCCAGGGACCAAAAAGTTAAGCTGCCCCCTCTCTCCCGCACCTGCCCCCATACGTACGCTGTGCATTCCCCTTTTTAACCTATTCTCCCTCTGCCTAAGCCGAGTCCGTCCAGCCCCCACCTCCCCTGAACTAGGTTGCAAAGCCGCCGTACCCTGCAACTCCTGAAACTTCTCTTCTTGCTGTGATTTATATTCTATACTAACAAAAAGGACAACAAAAATATACTGGATCCTCCTGTGGATGAGTTTTGTTTGGTTGTTTTTTTTTTTTTAAAATAATGCATTTCCTTCTTCCCCTTTAATTTTTTTTTTTTCTGGCAAGGAAATTTGCTCCATCTCCAGCAGCAACCACTGCTCCTTTTGATGTTGTGGTACGCCGTGCGCATGCGCTTCACATTAGAATTACTGCACTGGCCAGAATAAGTTGGATCTCTTCTTCTCTTCACTGAAACCCTAAATCATATCAAAAGCTAAAGGGATGCTGAGAGTCCGGAGAAAGGGTTACTTTGGGATTTGGTCATTCCCTTTAATAATAGCCGCGGTGTGTGCACAGAGGTAAGCGATGAAGGTATCTCTTTTCCTTTACTTTGAATTGCAGTGCATGCTGCTGCTGAGAGGAATGTACAGCTGGGGGCTGAGAAATCAGGAATAATATGGTATTGTTCTTTTTTTTTCTTTAGTGTCAATGACCCTAGTAATATGTCACTGGTAAAAGAGACCGTGGATAGACTGCTGAAGGGCTATGATATTCGCTTGAGGCCAGATTTTGGAGGTAATTTGACTGCTTTTGAATAAGAGAGGTTGCATATCCGAGCTGTGTACCTTTGGTGTGGAGAGGTTCAAACGTGTTGTGGGTGCTGTTGCTTTGGGGGGGGTGTTGCCATTTTCTCAAGCTGATCCAAAGTTAAGCCCATTGTTAATTTTCTTAGCACAGGATGCTCTTAATGCGATCACTTAAATCGCTTGCATATTTGTAATCGGTCCCTCATTTTTTGTGTGTGCTCATACTTTATTAACCCGTAATTAAACCCTCATTTAACTGGTTTTATCGAGATGCAAATCTCTCTTAAGTTTACCCAACCTTTGTTCCTTTCAGCATAATATGCCTGTGATCACAGGTACTATTTTTGAGTACAGGATGTGCTGTTAACTGATACAAAAATGCCATTTAACCCCCTGCGTGCTCCTGCTTCGAACTAGTTTGTTTATTTCGGACGTGTTCGCTGGGGGTGGCCCCTTGTCCCCCCATCCCTCCCTCGGGGCTCGGTGGCTGGGGGTGTGGGGCGGGCGGCGGCCGGGGAGGGAGCGGAGCGGGGCCGCGGTGCCAGCACGTGTATGCCGGTTACATAAAGCACGGCCGGGCTGTGGGGGCGCGGGGGTGAGCCCGGTGAGCCGGGGCACGGCTCGGTGGGCACGGCTCGGTCCCGCGGGGGGTGAGCCCGGTGAGCCGGGGCACGGCTCGGTCCCGCGGGACCAGCGGCTCGCCGGGGGGGGCGGGAAGGAGTGGGGAGCACTTCTCGCCTTCCTCCTGAGTTTCTGGTTATGCTTAAACGACGTTTCATGTGTTCGCTGCCTTCGCCAGCGAACTCTGGTAAGAATGAGTTAAGTTCACAGAGATCACATTGCGGACCATCTTGTCGGTTTGCAGGTCCCCCAGTGGCTGTGGGCATGAACATAGACATCGCCAGTATAGATATGGTCTCGGAAGTCAATATGGTGAGTATTTGGGGTGGGGGTGGGCGGAGCGGGGCCCGCGGGCCCGCGCGGCCTCGTGCCCCGCCTGCCGGGGGTCGGGGTGGAGGGTGCGGGGCGGGGGGGAGAAGCGGGGTCCGCGGGAGCGATGGATGCCGGTGTATCCCGGTGGATCGGGAGCGGTGGATCCCGGTGGATCGGGAGCGGTGGTTCCCGCTATATCCCGCTGTATCCCAGTGGATCGGGAGCGGTGTATCCCGCTGTATCCCGGTGGATCGGGAGCGCTGTATCCCGCTGTATCCCGGTGGATCGGGAGCGCTGTATCCCGCTGTATCCCGGTGGATCGGGAGCGCTGTATCCCGCTGTATCCCGCTGTATCCCGGTG